GCCGCGTTCTGGGCGGCGGGCGACAGGGGCTCACGTGATCCTAACTCGGGACGACGACCGGGGCCCCGCGCGTGCGGCGAGAACGGTGACAGGATTGCGAGATCTAAGGCAGCTCCGGGGGAAACAAGTGTTTGTGTCCAGAATTAACTGGGCTACCCATTGGCTCGGCATAACATTTCTGGCCCCTAGAAATGCGAAGTTGACAGTTGCCGTAAGCTCTGTTTTGGGTTAATAAATGAACAAATATGATCCTGAAAAAGCCAGCTGACCGCACTTAAATCGTTCCGGTTCTTGTACAGTGATCACGGTTAAACCTAACAAAGTAACAATTTCTAAAGAAAAGGCTTTAAAATTTCCAAACCTGATATACTGAACAAAATCTGTTGTTTCTGAATTTTTAAGGGTGTGATTCAGGAGCTGACGATTTATGGAAAAAATAAATACCTAAGAGGAAAATGAGATTTAGAAAAGCACACGAAGTGTTTCATGGTTGTTCTGAAGTCGCCCCTGGAGTTCTCGAACCTGCTTTTCGTTTGAGGACTACAATCCTACAACTGTCCTGGGCCAGACTGTTAGGGACTAATGTGTCCCCTACAGTGACAGAGCTGTTACTGTAGATCCGAGTGAGTCTCCTGCTTGGGGAGAGATAGGATTTCTAGCATTTGGGACAAAGCTAGAAACGCTGGACCTGTCCTGGGTCCGACGCTCAGGAGAGCTTGGAGTCACACACCAGGCGTTGAGTCCTTTGTCTAAAGTGGACTCAGCTGGTTCACGGGGACAAGGACTGATTTGTTCTGCGGGTATCTGTCTCCAGCCCACTCCGCCTCCATCCGCTCGTAGGCAGGGTTGCTCCGTGCCTGCCCTTAGCCAGAGAAGGGGAAGACACTCGCTGTCACGCGAGAGGGAAGAGGCTGTGGCCAGAAGGCTGTAGTAACAGGGTTAGTGACTGGGCATGGGAACTGCTGAGTGGCCCCAGTGGTAGAGAACCTGGTAGCACGCGTGAGGCTCTCATCACCATCCCTAGCACTAGGGGGAAAAAAGGCCTGGCTTGGAAAAAGAAAATAGGGCCTGTCAGGAGTCATATGAGATTGACTCAGAAATGGCGCAGCTGTAGTATAGAAGAGCAAGCTGGGAGTGGTGGTGCCCGCCTGTGATGCCAGGGCTGCTGCTAGTGTACACTTCTCTTCTGTCTTAGTCACTGGGCACTGGGGCTGAGGAGCCGACACCCGAGAGTGAAAGGAGGAGTTGATTCCGCACCCAGCGAACTTGGGTGTTTTGCTCCTCAGGGTTCCTTGGACCTGGTCCAGAGCGTTGAAGATGACCCGCTCCTGGAGGCCCCCCTGCTCCCACAGTACTCGCTGCAGGCCCGCTTCACGCCCAGGTTCCAGCCCCTGCCCACGCTGGTCACAGCCAGTCTTCTCCTGCTCGTACACGTGAGTGCCGGCGGTTGGGCCCCACAGGGTTTGTGTGCGCACTGGTGGAGGGAGCGTGGGTGACTAATAGGAGCTACGCCCCCAGCCGTTTCTGGTTTTTGTGGAGAAGGGCCGCAGTAAGTTGCCTAGGCTGATCTCAAACTTCCGTCCTCCTGCCTCAGTCTCTCAAGTGCTGGGATTACAGATGCCTGAGTTCAAGGCCAGCCTGGGCTACACGGGGAGTTCAAGGCCAGCTGGAACGGCATAGACCCTGTCTCGAAGAAAGGGACACTTTCCTTAGGTTTGGTGGTTGTTTCTCAGTCGGTGCGGTGCTGAGCCTGCTGCTCCCTGTCTCCCAGGTGGTATTCGTGGTCTTGGCGTTTCTCACGGGCGTGCTCTGCTCCTACCCCGACCCGAATGAGGACAGGTGCCCGGGGAACTACATCAGCCCGCTGAAGGTGCAGAGCGTTGTCGTCCTGGGCAAGGTCGCCCTGTGGGTCCTGCACGTGCTGCTCGAGCGCTACCTCCAGTACCACCACGGCAGGGTGCGGGGCCGTGGCTATGGCCGCATCTACCGCGCCACGCGGCCGCTGACCACGCTGGCCCTGCTGACACACTCAGCTGGTGAGTGGGGAGCCGCCTGCCCTCTGGGTGGCAGCGGAGGCTCCGTGAAATGTTTCAGGGTTTCTTGGAGCAGGGCCCCATGGTATAGTCCAGATGGCCCTCGTGTAGCTTCTGTAATTCAGACTAGCCTTGAACTACAGATTCTCCTGCCTCAGCTTCCCAAGTGCTAGGGTGACGAGTGTGTGCCACCACGCCTAGCTGAAAGTGGATGTGTTTTGTTGTTTTGGTTTGGTTTCTTGAGACAAGGTCTTGTTATGTACTTCTGGCTGGTGTTGACCTCATATTGCTTCCCTGCCTCGGCCTCCCAAGTGCTGGGATTATGTTGTGCCCCACCAAGCCCCCAAAATTTGATTTTATGATCAAAACATATGCCCTCTTTTATTTCTTTGGTTTTTTGATGCCCTCATTGTACAGTGGTGTGTATTTGTGGCTACTAGAATTTGGATTACTTCACTGTCTTGAAGCTTTTCTTGTAATATGTAATATACAGAGGCTCACAAATCATGGGCCTTCCTTTTCACTTGAAATTTCTGTTTTCTGAGGTTGGTTTGTTTGTTTGTTTGTTTGTTTTTTGAGACAGGGTCTCACTATGTAGTTGAGACTGACCTAGAACTCACTATGTAGTCCAGGCTGGTCTCAACTCACAGCGATCCTCCTGCCTCAGCCCCCTGAGTGCTAGGATTACAGGTGTGAGCCACCACGCCCAGCTTGGAATCTCTGTTTTTTATGAGCATGGCACCTGTGTGTGTGTCCCTGTGTGAAGTGGAGGCCTCCCCACCTTATGTCTTGCTTTTTTTGCTAAGTACGTGCTCTACCACTGACCTGCACCCCAGCCCCCTCGCTTTTGTGGGTAACAGGCTTGTTCATCTTAAGGAAACTGAAGTGCTATCGCTGTTTGACATTTTTAGCTGGGTGTTGTGATGCACGCCTGTGATCCCAGCACTCTGAGAGGCTGAGGCAGGAGGATTGCAAGTTCCAGCCCAACTTGGACAGCTTAGTGAGGCTGTGTCTCAGAATTTAAAAAGGAGCAGGGAATGTCGCTTAGGCTTTAGGCCTTATTGGTGGTGGTGGTGGGGTGTTCTGGTTTTGGGGGGTTGGTTTTTTATTTTTCAGCTTGTTTATTTTTTACCAGCGTAGGCACCGATGTGTCGTGCTCCACTCTGGCCAGAAGATGTCGCCCTAAGACAAGATAAAAACAAACCGCTCTGACAGATTCTGCTTGATCTGAGCGAGACCAAAGTAACATTCAGTTTCTTACTTGATGTGCCAGAAATCATTTTTGGTTTGGGTTTTTGTGGTCCCAGAGAATGAACTTACAGAGCACTGAGTTAGTCTTTTTATTTTTATTTTGAGACAGGATCTTGCTAAGACTGGCTTTGAACATGAAATTCTCCTGCCTCAGGTTCCCAAAAAGCTGATTATAGGGACATGCACTGCCATGCCTGTCTGGGAAGTGTTTTTAAGGCTCATAGAGACCTTTTCTCATTTGGTTGGGATTTTGCTTTGAGTTTGTGAGATGGCCTCACTGTGTAGTTCAGGCCAGCCTTGCATTTGAATGATCCTCCAGCTTCAGCCTCTGCTGGGATGTCAGGTATACGCTCCACACCTGGCTTTATCTGAGCTTTGTCTTTCTGAAATCTACATTTTCAAATTCTTGTTGACCATATGACCTTTAATCATGATCTGCTTTTTTTTGTTTTTTTTTTTTTTTTTTTTTTTTTTTGTTTTTTTTTTTTTTTTTTTGTTTTTTTTTTTTTTTTTTTGTTTTTTTTTTTTTTTTTTTGTTTTTTTTTTTTTTTTTTTGTTTTTTTTTTTTTTTTTTTGTTTTTTTTTTTTTTTTTTTGTTTTTTTTTTTTTTTTTTTGTTTTTTTTTTTTTTTTTTTGTTTTTTTTTTTTTTTTTTTGTTTTTTTTTTTTTTTTTTTGTTTTTTTTTTTTTTTTTTTGTTTTTTTTTTTTTTTTTTTGTTTTTTTTTTTTTTTTTTTTTTTTTTTTTTTGGTTTTTCGAGACAGGGTCTCACTGTGTAGTTCAGACTGCTCTGAAAATCACTGTGTAGCCCAGGCTGGTCTCGAACTCACAGTGGTCCTCCTGCCTCAGCCTCCCGAGTACTGGGATTACAGGCGTTCGCCAACATGCCCAGCTATGATCTTTTTAACAGTTGGACCTTTACTTTAATCACAGATGGTGTCACTTTGATGTTGTTCATGGAAGCACTCAAACAAAAGAATTAGGTCATGTATTTAAACTGGTTAATATCTTTAATTTTTTTTTTTTCTTACTAGTAACCCAAAAAAGGGCATGATGGCACATGCCTGTGATACTAGCATTCTAGAAGGCTGAGGCAGGAGGTTTACAAGTTCCAGCCCAGCCTAGGCAATCTAGTGATTTAGTAAGACTCTGTCTCAAAATTTCAAAAACAAGTTTTTTTTATAAAGAGGTCTACTGGGTGTGGTCATGCATGCCTGTGATCCCAGCACTGGGAGGCTGAGGCAGGAGGATCTCTTAGTTGGGGCCAGCCTGGGCTACATAATGAGTGCTGGGACCACAGCCATGCGTAGGCATGGTGGTGCAGCCTGTGCTCTCCACATGCTGGGAGGCTGGGGCAGGAGGATGGAAAGGTGGAGCCCAGCCTGGACAGTTTAGCAACTTACTGAGCCCCTGTCTCACAAAATAAAAAGGGGTGGTTACATAGCTCAGTTCGAAGGTCTTAGGGTCAATCCCTAGTATCCCCCCCCAAAAAAAAAAGTGACAGAGAAGAAAAATAAACATTGTTTCCCCTGGATCAGATTTAGATAAATGATATGTTAGATAAGTTTCGGGTAATTCCGAGATAAGATGCGGGTTGGTGTACGCTTGTCATCCCAGCACTCAGGAGGCTGAGGCAAGAGGGTCTCTGAAAGTTTGAAGCCAGTTTAGGCTACATAATAAGTTCAAGGCCACACTGAGCTACACCACCAGCCCCCACCCTTTTCTGTTTTTGGTACCAGGGATCAAACTCAGGGCCTTGTGCTTGCAAGGCAGACAGCAACACCACTGAGCTAAATCCCTGGCACCACCAGCCCTTTCTAAAATTATTTTTGAAACAGTATTTTTCAAAGTCACTAAATTACCTAAGCTGTCCTTGAATTTACGATCCTCTTGCCTCAGAGTGCTAGGATTACAGATAGCCACAACCCAGCAGGGAGTTACTGTTGCACTTGTATAAGGCCAGCTGGGTGTAGTGTTGCACACCTGTAGTCCTAGCACTTGGGAAGCTGAAGCAGGAGGGTTGCATGGAGTTAGAGGCCAGTCCAGGCTACCTGGTGAGACCCTGACTCAAAGAATTAAAATTGTGGTCTCTGGCCCTTTGGTGGTGGGGCAGGAGGCTTGTACTCCAATCTCCTGGGCCTTCTGGCTGGATCTTAGGCCGCACTCTGAAACACTGATTTGTGTAAACTCATGTGGTGGAAAGGCCTTGCTGTCAATAACAGACAGCCGTGTTGCTCAGGGACCCTGTGGCTTGTGCCTCTCTGTGCAGAACCAGTCCTGGCTGGAGATACTCCTGTCTCCGCCACACTGCGAGTCCCCGGCACTGAGGGCCCTTGGCCAGAACCAAAGCTCACACAGACCGCGCAGAGACCAACACAGCTGCTTTGTCCCTGCAGGCAACGCAGCGCTGCTGCTGGTGCTGTGCGCGCAGCACTCCTTCCCCGGGCCCGGCAGGCTGTACCTCGACCTCCTCCTGGCCGTGCTGGCCCTGGAGCTGCTCTGCTCGCTGACCTGGCTGCTGCTGTACACAGGTGAGGAGCGGTGGGCAGTTTTCCCCCGTCCACAGCTGAGGCGCACACTTCCTTGGCTCAGCCACAGGAAGCCCGGTCACCGTCTGGCTTGGTGCCATCAAGAAATTGAGTAGAGGGAAGCCTTTTTATTAAACAGCCCAAACCTTACAAACTTTTGCTTCCCCCGATGCAACCGTTATATAAGTCTGATATTTAAAACTAAAAACAAAATAGGCAAGTATGGTGGCACAGGCCCATAGTCCCAGCCCTTGGAAGGCTGAGGCAGGAAGATCTGAGTTGGAGGCCAAGCTGGTGAGTTCACGTCTGGCCTGGACTCCTCCTGAGACCCTGTATGCGTGCGCACACACTCGAGTCACTAAGCAATGAAACTAGACACAAAACTGTGGTCCCGGGCTGGCCGGAGGGTGAGGATCTAGGAATCCCTGATGCCGGGCTTGGGGCTGTGACTGGGGAAGTGTACGGGAGGGAACTAGGAGGGAAGGTGTTTGAGAAGAAATCCAGGTTTCTCACCCACTCAGTAGTAACGGGCACATGTGCCCAGGACAGTGGGTGACTTGTGGCCATTCCTGTGGCTTCGAGAGAAGTCATCTGGCCTTCGCTCGTGCTTCCTCTCGCTGGCTGTGTGTGTGGCTGTGACGCACATGTGTTTAACCGTGACTGACAAAGCCCTTCACAATCGCGACGGACGGCATTCTTTGCTGTCAGGTCAGCGGGGCTGGGTGACGTTCGCACCACACTCTCAGAGCAGCTGCAGCCGCCCGTTAGCCGTCTAGGAGCCGATGGGTCTGTCCTTAAGGACGCGGGTCACCAGCGAGCTCGTCAGGGGGCTTGGCATCCGTCCCACCCAGTTTTCATCTGCCCTGAGGGCAGGGGTCGCCTACGGGCTCGGCGCGCACCTTCTTCCCACGCTTGTTGGCCCCTCCTCCTCCCGGGTCCTGCGCCCTCACCTAATGGCTTCCTTGTCATTTGCAGATGGTCCATTCTGTGACTGCTGTGTTTGTCCCTTGATAGAACAGGGTCAGCGTTCCAATCTGGCCGGAGGGTTGAGTGAGCTTGTTGCTGTTTATCGTAGTGGTACTGGGACAGAAGCCAGGACCTCTGAGCTGAGCACTGAGGGCGTCTCCAGCCCCACGGGCCTGCTCTGTGCGTGTGTTCGCCTCTCCTGCGCCCACAGCTCTAGTGGGAGCGTTCAGAGCGCGCCCTCCAGCCACCTCGTTCAGCACATCACGGCTCAGCCTCCACAATTTAGAATTGCCGAGTGAAATTTCAGAATGAAAAATGAAAAAAAGGACTGGGGATGTAGCTCAGAGCAAAGGCCCCGAGTTCAATCCCCAGTACTACCCAAAAAAACAAAAGAAGCAAACAAAAAAATGACTTCTATGCATGATTCCAAGTCCGTGAAATATCCAGAGAAGGCACATCCGGAGATGATGATCTTTATGAAATAGTGTCCAAAGCTGGGTGTGATAGCAGACACTTATAATCCCAGCACCAGGGAGGCAGAGGCAGGAGGATCACTGTGAGTTGGAGACCAGCCTGGGCTACACAGTGAGACTTTCTAAAAAAAAAAAAATGAAAAGTAAAATAGTGCCGAGAAGCGGGGCTTTGAAGCCCCGATCCTGGAATAGGTCCCTGGCTGTGGCGGGCTTCGCCTGACCATTGTGTAACCTGGAGTAGAAGAGCCCCTCGAGTCAGCGGGGCCCATGTGGAGCACCAGTGTGGCAGGCCTGGAAAGGTCTGTGTAAGTCAGTACAGGCCTGTTTCTTTGCCTTATGAAGCACTCTTTCGCGTGTGAACTTGTTTGAAAAGAACAGCCAGTTAATGTCATTTGAATGAATGAAAATGGGAACTTTTTAAAGATTAAGTAATCTGAGGACTGATAATTGCTTTTACTATTTTAGTGAAAATTAGAAAATTTAATAGAGCCAAACCACAGCCTGATGTTCTTGAAGAAGAAAAAGTCTGTACTCACCCCAGCGGTATTACTTCGGAGACTGGCTTCAGGTAAGATGTGGGTAACGAATGAAAGATAAGTGAGATGGAATCAAAAGGGTTTTTTCCCAGTGGAAATCTGGAAACCACCCTAACGCTTAGAGTTTATGACTCGGAGTGTCGCCTTGATAATCATGTTAGATTGCTTTAGTTCTGTCCAGTTGTGAGATGCGTCTCACCTGGCATAGGTATACTTGATGCAGAAGAGAGATTAACCTCCGCCTCTCCGAGTTTTCATGCCGCTGCTTACTCCTCCAAAATGGACACCGTTTCTGTGGCTGATCTCATACCACAGCCTCCTGGTTCCCTGTGGCTCTTGTCCGCCTGCACTCCCGGGACTGGCGAGTCAGGCCTGGTTTCTACGCACTCTCCCCAGTGACTGTGATGGCTAGAATACATCCCCGATCTGTCAAACACCATCCAGACAGTCACACCCAGTGGTGCATGCCCGTAAACCCACAGCCTTGAGTTGCTTCACTTACTGGGTGGAGAGGTGCAAGGAGGACACGAGCGAGTGCACACAGGGCTGGGAAAGTGGGAGAGCAGATCTGGAGATGATGTCGAAACACGTCAGGGAACAGGAGAACCCCCCGCCATTTTTTTTTTTTTTTTTTACCCCCCTTTTTTTTTTTTTTTTTTTTTTTTTTTGGTGTTTTGAGACAAGGTCTCTCTGTGTAGTTGAGACTGACCTGGAACTCACTAGGTAGCCCAGGCTGGTCTCAACTTGGCAGCGATCCTCCTGCCTCAGCCTCTCGAGTGCTGGGATTACAGGCGTGCGCCATCATGCCTGGCTGAATCCCACTATTTAGGTAGGGAGCTAAGCACAGAAGAAACAAAGTTTGAGACTGTTGCCCAGGCCATGGAAGCCCCAGCTAGCCTTGTGCAGCACGGCTGGTCCCCTGAGCCCTGTACTCGGGGATCCCAGACTCTGCCAAGCTGGAGTGTAAGAACTGAGGGTCGGACGGAAACAAAGGGTCACGCAGACCCTGATGGGCCCACGATCACGCCTCCAGCTGCCAGTTTCCTCTGGTGTCCAGATTAGCACCTTCACTTGAAGATCTAAAATAAGAAGAAGATTAAACAAAGGAGTATCTCAAGCATAATAGGCCCAGCACCCCGCCCAGGTCCATGGTGTCCCCGACTCCTGTCCTTTTGCTCACCCTCTCTGAGGATGGCACGAGTCCTGTGGGCTCCACCTCCAGACACATTGCAGACTCACTGCTGCTACTCACAGCCCCCGCCCCACCAGCCTTTTCCCTGCTCTGTGGCGGCCTCCCTGTCTCCTCCCGCAGTGTATTTTCAGTGAATTTAACTCAGCAAAAAAAACGGAAATGAGGAGCTCTCAGGTGCTTCACTGTACTAAATGCTAAGTACTTACATCTAAAAACAAGCTGGGTGTGGTGGTGCACACCTATAATCCCAGCACTCAGGAGACTGAGGCAGGAAGATTGCTGCAGTTGGATTCCAGCCTGGGCTCCGTAGGGAGTTCAGGGCCACCCCGAATTAGAGGAAGACCCTGTCTCAAAAACCTAAAAACGGTGCTGGGGATTTAGCACAATAGTTCAGCTGCCTGCCTTGCCAGTGCAAGGTCCTCAGTTCAATTCCTGGTACCAAAACAAAAAAAAAAAAATCTAAGAACAGAAAGTTTAGGTAACTTTTGAAGTCACGCAGCTTGTGAGTAGCAGATAGCTTAACATTTGTAACCTGTACTGATTTGCTTCTTTTTGTATTTTTGGCTTTTGGAGACAGGATCTCGCTGTGTAGTTCAAGCCGGCTGGGAACTCCCTGTGTAGCCTTCGGTTTCCAGGGCCGACTGCTGCATTTAACACTCGGGTGATCGCCGGGTATTACATGCGCATCTGCCCTGGCCGTGGCAGGGGACCCCTGTGCTGAGATGCTGGGCTGGTGAGCTCGGCGACCCACTTGTCCCTGACTTTTGCAGGACCATTTCCAGCCTGGAAGAAGTGGTGGAAAAGCAAGCAGACATCATAACGTACCTGAAGCGGCACAACGCGCTGCTGAGCCAGCAGTTGTTGGCGCTCACAGCCACAGACCTGGGCTCCCAGCCAAGCGGAACCTGAGAGGCTGCGGTGCCCAGGCCAGGGACTGGCGAGAGTGCCCACAGGTGGTTCCCAGGGCCTCCGGCAGACCCGCTGCTCAGTCCTCATGGGACCCTGAATCTGCATCACCTGCGGCCGGGATCCTCTGAGAGGCACGTGGGAGGGGTCCTGGGAACCCCAGGGGAAAGACTGTCGCGTTTATTCTGGAATCATTTAACACTCCCCCTGGGTTTTTCTTAGGATCCGGCTGTTTAAAAGTGCCGTGGTTCCACTCTTTCTGCGTGCTGCTAGATCCCTGCAGCAGTGAGCGTGTCACTTAGCGGAGAGTGCACTTGGCACTCCGGAGGCGTTGGGTGTGACCCTCAGTTCCACGTAAACAGTGACAGGAAACAGCCCTGTGACAGTGGACTGCAGGGGAAGTCAGTCCTGACAGGCAGTTGTAAATGGCCTTTTGGGGATGGAACCCAGGGCCTCACGAGTACCAGGCTCTGCCCTGGAGCTGCCACGGTGCCTAAAGAAGTAAGCCCTACTGTTGAGATAAGGAGAGAAGTCATTGCTGTGGTGTCTTCTGTATCTTCCCTTTCCGTGTGTCCTGTGCTTCTGGGGACTGAGGGACAGCGAGTCGTGCGCCTGTGTTTCCCTCCTGTGGTGCTGGGCATGGAACCCCCTCCCCCAGGAGCTGCACGCCCCCCACACAGCTGTCACAGAATTTCCTCACTGGGTAGGACAAGGAGCCCGGCTGATGTGGGAGGGTCATGAGTTTGAGGCCAGCCTGGGCTACATAGTGAGTTCCAGACCAGCCTGGATATAGGAAAACCGTGCCTCCAAAAGCAAACAGCAGTCTGGCTGACCAGGGTCTCACTCCATGATACAGTATGCAGATTCTAGTGTTTTCTTCAGAAATCAGGTGATACAGTTACCTGGTGACCTGACCCAGACAGGCTGCTGCATCTTCCATTGCGAAAGCTGGAGAATTCAGAAATGTCCGCTTCTCTTTGCCCTCTTCTTGAGGAAGTTGCCATTTGTTTCTGTATTGGATCAGTTCATTGAATCAAGAAGTTCACTTCCAGGAATGGAAAAGCCTGTGGTTTAAACTCTAAAGAGAACGATTCATTTCTAGTCTTAGTTTATACCTAGTGGTAATGAGAATAAATTTATGCACAGACAAGCACGCCTGTGTCCTGAGAGCAGAGCGAAGTGGTACGAGCGGCATCACTCCTCGCGTTCCAGGTGTGCTGCTGTCCTGGTCACTTCCGCCGCCCAGGCCCAGTCCCCACCGAGGGAGCTGTGAGGGGAGGGGCATCTTGGACTGCGAGCTGGGTCCCCAGCTGGTGACGCGGGACTTGGCTGGAGAAGCCGTGCAAGACCGCCTTGGCACGTTCTGACTGAGGTCCTGGGATTGAGCCAGCGGGTAGGACTGACGCACATCCCCAGCCCTTCAGTTTGAGAAGGTCTTGCTAAGTTGCCCAAGCTGAATTAAATTTGCTGTCCTCCCGCCTCAGCCTCCCAGTGCTGGGATTACAAGTGTATGCCACACCTCTGATGGCAAGGGATTTTTTGTTGCTTGATTATTTGAAATTGGGTCTTGCTGTGTAGTCCAGGTGAGTCTCAACCCTATGACCCTCTTGTCTCAGCCTCCCCGTGCTGGGAGGAGAGGTTGCACCACGGGTTGGGACATATTCATTTGATCACACCCACTCACTTCCGGAGGGGAACACCTGCTGCCCAGATGCAGCTCCCTCTTGGGCATTCTGTCCCAGGTCCCTGGTCTTCTTCCCTGCTAGGCAGGCTGCTGCACACTGAGGCAGGTGACCACCTTTCCAGACCCTTGGGCTTTAGAGATCCTTTGTGCCATGTGTCCTCGGGTCCTCTGCTCACTGGCCCCGGGATGTTCTCCCTCTGCTCCCGAGGGGACCAAGCACCCTGATGAAATGTGTCCCTCACCACTGGTGAGAAAGTCCCCACAGGTGGTCCCAGGGCTGCCTGAGGTGCAGTGTTGTGCGACAGCAACCACAGGCGGGCCCTTTTCCTTCTGGAATTTAAGCCCAAGTCATACTTGAATCAAGTTGTTTTTCTCCCTTTTAATTTTTCCTTAACTTCCTCCAAGGCTTCTCAGCCTCAGCACTGCTGAAATCTGGGTCAGTTCCCAGGTATGGTAGCACCACGCGTGTAACCCCAGCACTCTGGGAGGCTGAGGCAGAAAGATCTCAAATTTGAGCTCAGAATGGGCAATTTAGTGACTGCCTCAGTTACTTTTCTCACGTTGCTGAGACAAAATAGCCAACCCCTGAAGTTAAAGGGTGAAAGGTCTATTTAGCTCACAGTTTGTAAAGGTTTCAGTGCTTAGGGTGGCACATGGCAAAGGAGAGACAGTTCAGGGCAGAAAAGCAACAAGCGTCCTTAATAGGGTCTTTCCGCCCTTATATCTTATATAGGCTACTCCGGTGGGAAGCACTCAACCCTTCATCCTAGCGCCCTTGAGCCTAGTGTTGCACCCTAGGTCAATTTCAGCCTCACACTCTAGATCCTGCCCCACCTCATTCAAATAAGGCTGGGGGGGGCATCTGGGTACATTAAAAAATAAAAACCAAAGAAACACAAGCCATAACAGTGACCATCTCAAAATAAAAAGGGATGGGGACGTAGCTCAGTGCAAAGGCCCTGGGTTTAATCCCCAGCACTGCAAAATTAAAGCTTTTAGGGGACTGGGCTGATTTAGCTCAGTCATTTCACCGCCTGCCTCACAAGCACAAGGTCCCCAGTTCAATCCCTGGTACCAAAAAAAAAAAAGTTTTTGTACAATGGGTTTGTCCCGTGTGGGGTGCAGTGTGGGCGGAAGCAGCACCTGCAGTCGTGCCAGCTGGAAGGGACCCTGTGAACCCTGTTCACCCTCGAACTGCGCTGAGATGTCCTGGACTCCTGAGGGCTGGAAACGGAAGGGTCAGTGAGATGAAAGTGCCGCTCCTTCCCTGGGGCCACCTTGTAGCAGTGCAGGAGAGGGCAGCACGGGAATACTGCCCCGTAGGACTTCGGGAAACATGCCTGCTCTGACCACTCCAGCAATCTGGCAGCAAGAGTCAATTAAATGTCCCCCATCCACAGCCTTGCTACATAAAAGGCCAACTTTATCTGGTCGTGAGAGTCACGCTAAGTTAAATCCTCAGCGCTTTTATTATCATTACAGATAGTTTAGTGATCTCTCAAGCTAGGTATTTTTTGAACTCCAGCCGTGTGGCTTTTGAGGCACACCGCACCAGTGAGCTAAATCCCTGGCCTGTTTTGTTTTTTTGAGACAAGACCTTATTATGTAGTCCAAGGCTGGCCTCAAAGTGGCAGCAGTCCTCCTGCCTCAGCCTCCCAAGTCCAATGAGCTGCTGCTATCAATCTTGGATACAAAGCTGTCGCCTAGTAGCTTTTTCATTTCTAAACATTTTTATTAGTACATGTTTGCAGAAATCAGTGTTACATTCATCATGGGGCCACCAGGAAGTCTTTCGTTTTTTAGGTTCTCAGGATTGAACCAGAATCTTCGAACTGAGCTATGTCCCCAGCCCTTTTTACGTTTTACTTTTCTTTTGGTACCAGGAATCAGACTCAGGACCTTGCACTTATGAGGCAGGAGGTGGTACCACTGAGCTAAATCCCCAGCCCCATTTTTTTACTTTTGAGACAGGGTCTTGCTAAATTTAAATTGTCCAGGAGGCTGAGCTCAATTTGGCTCTTCCTGCCTCAGCCTCTCTAGTGCTGGTGTTGCCAGCGGAGGCCATCTGTGCTGACACTGCCATGGTGAGGAACTGCCACAGCCTCACCCTTGGAATGGCATTGTCTCCAGGACGCGCATTTCCTGGCTTCGTCCTCCGAAGCTGTGTTCTCCTTGGCTCCCCTTCTGTTCCCTAGGTAGGCCTCGGTGCCAACTCCAGCAGCTCATCCTCGACCCTGCTCGGCACTGCCATGCCTGCACTTCTCGACCCACAGGGCCACTGCAAGTGGTTTGAGCCTGGGGAGTGAAGCCGGAGTGCGGAGCTACATCCCCCACCATTTTTGTTTTGAGATAAGACACACTCAATTGCCCAGGCTGTCCTTGAACTAGAATCTTCCTGCACCAGCCTCCCTTGATCTTGGGGTTACAGGTACAGGCATCATTTTCTTTTTTTGTATTTTGAGAGTCTCCCTGTGCATTCCAGGCTGGCCTTGAACTCTGATCCTCCTGCCTCAGCCTCCCAAGTTCTGAGAGTACAGGGGTGTTCCACCAAGTCTAGCTTTTTTGAGACCAGTTCTAAGTTTCCAAGTTGTCCAGCAGAGTGCTGAGTTACAGGTGTGCACCCCCATGTCCAACTCAGCCAATACTTTTGGTGGTTTTTCTGATTCCAATTGCCAACCTCCAAGCCCCACCCACAGCCCCCCCGCCCTGGAGACCCTCCACCTCGAAGCCCCGTCTTACTGCATTTGGCTGGTCCAGCAGGTCCTCCATTGCTGAAGTCTTCCCCTGGTCCCCTCCTGGTGGAGCCCTCACTCCCCCTTGATACCAGATTGAACACAGGACCTGCACGCTCTGAAAGCGCTTCAGCACCACTACATCCCACCCGACCGTACTTCAACATCCATCTCTGTCAGCTGCAGGGGCAAATTCCTTGGGAGGCTGAGGCAGGGGAATCGCCAAGTTCATGGCCAACCTGGGCAACTTAGCAAGACCTTGTGGCAGAATTAAGAGGGGAGACGGCTGGGGACATAGCTCAGCAATGAAGCACCCCTGGGCTCAGCTCCCAGCGTGGGGGGTGTGGTTACAGAAAACGCAGTTATCTGTTGTAGACATCAGTACAGCGAATTAAGGAGCAAGAGCAATACCACGTGCAGAGCATGGCCACGTATCTGGAAAACTTAATTAACTGAAAATCCGCCGGAGGTGAGTGAGGGTGGTAAACTACAGCCTGAAGATCCACAGGCCTCGAAACACAAGAATGAGGGTTTGGACGGGGAGGAGCCCAGCGGCAGAGTACATGGCACTAAATGAGGCCCTGGGTTCAATCCTTAGCACCAGAAGGGAAAACAAGTTTTTTTTTTTCTTTATTTTTTAATTGCCACACAAAACACAAAAATTATTACTGGGGCACCGTGTGGTCTCCATGCAGGCACACACGTGACATTTACATCATGTTGGACACGGCTGTTCCCTCATTTATCATTTCTTTATTTAGCTTATTGCGAAGGCCATGGGTTCATTTCCCAGAACAGGAAAAAGAAAAAAAAAAGTGATATTCATGTTGTATCCATGCGGACAAACATGTTCAACACCATATGCAAGGTATTAGGTACTCAAAACAAGCAGCAGCCAGGTGTGGTGGCTACACCTGTGGTCAAGGAGGTCGAGCCTAACCTGGGTAACAGTGAGACTAATCTCAAAGGCAAAAACAAAGTATAACCTTAATCCAGAAAAAAATACTTCCACTGTAACAGCCAAGTCTTTGCATTTCTAATTCGGGTGACTAAATCCCAAAGTGATACATTAGCAAACTACTAGGGAACTCTAGACCTATTCGCATTAACGTAAATAAGAGAATGCTCTATTAGCGCTATTTCTTACTGTCCTGAAAACTTTTAGAGACACTGGCCTGGGGGTGTAGCTCAGTAAGCACTTGCCTGATATGGGATAGGCAGGCCCTGGGTTCAAAACTACAGCACCACACATAAAACACAAACAAAATGAAACTGCAATGTAACCTGGAAAAAAGCTTCTCCTAACAATTCATGTATAGATTAGGCCTTTGGCAGGTATGCAGCTCAGTGGCAGAGCACTTGCCTAGCACGCTGGAGGCCTGGCTTTGTCCGTGGCACAGCTATCTCCATCTATGTAAAACCAAGTTTCTAGGTGAGTTCGTGTGGACTGCTGCCACAGGTGGCTTCTTAGAGTAACAGGAAAAAAACTGTCCACAGAGTCAGGCATGGTGGCACACGCCTGTGATTTCAGCACTCAGGAGGCTGAAGCAGGCAGATCCCATAACTTCACACAAGTTCAAGGCCATCCTGGGCTACACAGTGAGTTCAGGGCTTGCTTGAACTACAAAGGGAGACCCTGCCTCAAAAACAACAACAAAAAACTACCAAACAAAAAACTGTCCACAGCTGACACAATACCAGCCAAAAATGCTCACCCTGCTGGGTGTGGTACCATAAGACAAAAATCACAGCCCTCTGGGAGGCTGTCAGGATCACAGATAAACCCAGCATGGGTAATTTAAGTGATTTAGAGTCACCCTATCTCAGAAAAAAAAGGAAAAAACAAAAAGGTGCACCCGCTTGATGGTAGGCAGCTCTTTGGGGTGTGGACCTTTGTAGTGTGTGCAAAGCCTTGTAAAGGGTAACCCTCAAAGCCAGCACTGTACCAGGTCCGTGTACACGGGAACCCCAGATAGCCATGGCAACAAAATGAAGTTTTCTTCTTCCAAGTGGTGAAACTGAAAGAATGGGATCTATGAGTGCACAACACCATGGCCTGCAAAACTTCCATTCAAAACAAAGCTGGCTGGTGTAGTGATGATACACACCTCTAATCCCAGGAACTTGGGAGGTTGAAGCAGGACTGCAGTCAGGCAAAGCCTGGGCAAACTTAGTTAGATACTGTCTCAAAATAAAAAAGGGCTGGGGATATGGCTCAGTGCAAAGGCCCTATGTTCCATCCCCACTACTGCAAAAAAAAATTTTTTTAAAAGATGTAGTTCAGCACTCCCTGAGTTTGATCCCTTGTGTCACAATAAAAGAGACTTTTTTAGTCCCTGGGGTACCATCCCCATCATCACTTAAAAAAGTACACCGAGATCAAGAAACAAAAACCTGCAGAAACAGTTCAGCCGAGGGGAGCCCTCACTCGCCCTGACAGGGCACCCTGATAATCCTGAGCGGCTTGGCTTCCGGCCCGAGGTAGAAGTAGGGCCGTAGCGGCTCTGAGAAGGAGTCGTGGAAGGTGCAGAGGTGTGCGCCCGCGGGTAGGTCGTAGAAGGAGATCTCACCCAGCTCATAGTCCAGGAAGACACCCAGGGTCCGGTCGCGCACGTCCAGCTGCAGCAGTTTGGATGTGGCCCCTGGGGCTTTGTAGCCTTCATCCTGCAGCTGCACGCCCCAGCAGCCTTGGCCGAGGCGCAGCCCCTTGGTGGACTGTGCGGCCCTGCACACCCCCACGGCCCACTGGGGCGTGTCCCCCACCTCCACCCGCCAGAAGTGCCTCCCAGAGTAGAAATCCGGGAAGCCCAGGACAACGGGGTTGGCCCCAGGCCTTCTGGACAGACGAGAACTGCTTCGCTTTTTCTTTGCAAATCTGACGCATTTCCTGTCCGCCGAGATGGACAGGTTGGGGCTGGCCGTTTCGGGGTCCAGGATGATGTCGACCTTAAATTCCTTGATGATTCTCTGCAGGGCAGAGTACTGCGGAGGGAAGAAATAGGCTTCTCTCCGCAAGTTAATGGAGAAGATGGGCGGGCTGATCTCGTCTTCAGCATTCCGGTAGAAATGCTTGATCTGGGACAGCAGCTGGACCTCGGACATTGCGCTGTGCGTCACCGCCTTGTTCAGGAGGCTCTTGAGCAACGCTGCATGGCTGGTGAAGGCGTTGATGTTGTTACTGAGCTGCTGCTGGATCTCCCGCTGCTCCTGGGCCAGCCGCTCCAGGGCCGCCTGTTGCTCTCGCTGAAGAAACTGGCTCAGCAGCTCCAGCTCGGAGGCCAGCTGCCGCCTCTGGGCCTCCACCTTCTCCCGCAGCTCCAGGGGTGCCCTGCTCTGCTCGCTGATCAGCTTCTGGGTGTCAGCCACCTGCCTCTGGAGCAGCTTGGCGTAGCTGTGAAGCCGCGACCTGTGGCGAGCTGCGGCCTCCCCCAGGGGGCTCGTGCGGTGACGGAAGTGGTCAGGGGGCTGCAGGCACTGGGGACACAGCACCTCTAGGTCCTCCTCACAGAACAGGCTCAGCTCCTGGTTGTGCTTCTCACACAGGTTGGTCTTCTCTGACCTCCTCCTCTTGCTCTGGGTGTTGTGCAGCTTTCGGGCAATCTGCACCATGCGGCCCAGCTGTGTGTTGCTCCGGAAGTAGCCCTCCTCGCACTGAAAGCGACACACTGGGCAAGGGAACTTCTCCTGCAGGTCGGCCCATGACTGCCGGATGCAGGCACGGCAGAAGTTGTGTCCGCACTCGATGGTGACTGGGTCCATCAGGTCATCCAGGCACACGGAGCACTTGGACTCGGCCTGCAGACGTACCAGGGCGGCTGCCACTGCCATCAGGCCACCAGACAGGCTGCTTGGGCTCGCTGACCTTCCCGGGGTTGCAGGTGACTTCCCTGCAGCGGGCTTCTTACAGCAGTGGTGACCCTTGAGGTCCCTGGAGTCTGCGAAGTCTAGGGACGTTTAATTTGTGCAGCCAGAACAGCTCTCTTCTGGTGGAGAGGTGCTGTGGGTAAGAAGGGAAAAACCTGCTTATTCCAGGAGATCCCACACTCCCCAGGCTCCAGTCAAACACAGATCGAGCTCCCTGAGTCCTGGCCTCGTCCCCAAACCCATGAGACAGAGCCCACACTTCTCGCCCCCTGGACCTACAGTCCCCACAGTGCACACCTGGTCACCCCAGCCAGCTGGTCCAGGCACAGGCCCCAGAGGACAGAGAGCACCCAGCCCCCGAGCCCTGTAACTCGAAGCACTTCATACCCAGACTCCTGCTCTGAGGTATGAGGAATCCACCAGGAATTTGTCTTCTGAAAAGACCATGGAAAGACTGAGAGATGGGCGTGGTGGTGCACGCCCTTAATCCCAGAATTTGGGAGGTTGGGGCAGCAGGATTGCAGTGAGCTCAGGAAAGACAAAAATAGTTATTGGCAGAGGGCAGGTTTATGCTGTTGCTGTGTTGTTTCTGTGGTTCTGGGAATCAAGCCTAGGGGTGGCTCCACCCCCAGCTACTTCCCCAGTACTAGAGACGGGACCCCTGAGCCTTCCCATAGAGCTGTTTATCTCCAGCCCTTTTCTACTCTGAGACACGGCTTCACTATGCTGATGTGACTTGACCTAAAGTTTCAATTCTCCTTCCTTAGCCTCCCAAAGATCAAAAGCTTGTCTAGACTGCTCAAAGCTCTGGTTCTGATACCCACTCAGTCCTGCAGTCAGTCAAAACATGCATAAATGAAATTACCTATTTATATCTGTTTGCAGCACTGAAAATGGAAACCAGGGCCTCACACATGCTAGGTAAGCACTCTTACCACTGAGGTTTGACCTTGTCCCCAAAAAAAGTATTTCTGGAGGCTCAAAATTCACATCTACAGCCAGGTGTGGTGGCCTAGGCCTATAATACTAGCATCAGGAGGCCAAGGCAGGAGGACGAGTTTGAGCCCAGTTTGGGGAACCTGTCTCAAAACAAGTAAAAGCATGGAATGGTTGTGCACACCAGTCATTCAGGCACTTGGGAGGCTGAAGCAGGAGGAATGGCTGAATTCAAGGCCAGCCTAGCCTACATAGTGAGACCCTGTTGCAAAAAAGTTTGTGGGGAAGGGATGATATAGCTTACAGTGAAGGCCTTGGGTTCAATCTCCAGTACCGAAAAAAAAAAATGTTAAATTAGATTTTAAACCCAGGCCGGCTTGGGGCATGCAGTGATCCTCCTGCCTCAGCTTCCCATATACCAGGCTTGCTGCTCTCTTAAAAGATGTATGTATGGCTGGGAACTATGCTGCCAGGGATTTAGCTCAGTGGTACCTCCGCCTGCCTTGCAAGCACAAGGGTTCCATTCCGAGTACAAAAAAAAAAAAAAAATGCTGTGTAACTGAGGACTTCGTTACTTGTCTGGGCCTCGGTCTGACCTGGCGAAATTAAGACCGCCTCTAGCACACCCGGAACACCGGGGCCTACGTCAGCCTTCAACCCCTACCACTCCACCCTCAGTCCACACTGCGCTTCAGACCAGGCTGCGGTCTCCACTCTCACAGCGCTGCACTGGGCCTTCGGGATCCCACACACCCGGCCCCTGCTTACCTTTAGCTCTAGGCAAACTTTTCCTGTGAGGCTTAGCGCAGCAAACTATTCCAGTCAGGGTCAGCGCAGCGCGCGCCAAACTAAACTATTCCAGTCAGGGTCAGTGTAGCGCGCCGGCTAGACTGGAATCCCGAGACAACCTCGCGCCTCAGCTGCCTGAGGGCTGAAGTGCGCCAGCGCCAACCCACACCCTTTTATAGTGGGGGGAGGGCGGCTCCGCCCACCGAAAATGAGTTTCCTCCGGAAGTTGGGGGAGAGCAGCCCTGCGCATGCGCCATGGGGAGTGGACCCAGAGAGTTGCGAGTTCCGTGGTTTAATGTTTCGAATTTTTGGAGTCTGTCTAGTAACCAAGTAGGCTAGGTTTGGGGGCTACTGTGAATTGAACCCAGAGCCTTTGCATAGAGCTACGTCCCCAGCCCTTCTTTCATTTTTTGTTTTGGCCAAATTGCCTAGATTGGGCCTGAACATGGAGTCCTCCCTCCTCAGCCTCCCAGAGTGCTGGAGTCGTAGAAGTGCGCCACCTTGCTGGGCTTTCCTATGGATTGTTTATTGTGCGATTTGGGTTTATTGGGCTTCGGGTAAAACCCAGAGCCTCACCTATGCTAGACAACTACACTATCATGCAGCTAAACTCCAATTCCTAAATCTTTTAAAAATATTCGATTAAAAATACATGATTAAAGCTGGGTGCGGGGGTGCACAACTGTAATCTCAGCACCTAGGGAGGCTGAGGCAAGAGGATTGCAAATTGGAGCCCAGCCTGCGTAATTGAGGGAGAGCTCCTCTCAAAATTAACAAAAGGTGGGCCTGGTGGCACATGCCTGTAATCGCAGTGCTCAGGAAGCTGAGACAGGAAGATCACTGTGAATCTGAGGCCAGCCTGGGCTACATAGTAAAAAACAGTAAAAGACGAAAGAATAGCTTTGGGTTCCATCCCCAGTACCACAATAGAAACAAAAAGCAGCTAAATAAAACTCCCCAAACCTCCGGCATGTCCGCACCCTACCCTGTGCAGGGATCCATCCCGGGGCCGTGCATGGCAGGCATGCGCTCTACCCTGACTTTACATTAGGCCCAACATAGTTTATTTGTTAGAATTGGGGATTGAATCCAGGGCTTTACCGCTGGAGCCTAGGCTGGCCTTGAATTCACCGTGATGCTCCTGCCTCCACCCGCTGAGTAATAGGATTACAGCCTGCACAAGGTATGCCCCGGTCCTCCCGGGGGACCTGGGCCTGCCGGCCCTCCTCTCTCCGCCTGCGGCCTCCCTGCAGTCCCTGTTGGTTCCGAGGCTGTGAGTTTAAACCTCCGCGGTTCTGGGAAGGCGGAAACCACCGAGAGCCCTCGCTGTCCCATCCCAGCAGCCGCAGTAGGGTCTGCGCGAGGCCTGGGTTCCCTCCTCGAGGCCACGAAAGAACAGGAAAAGAAAGGACATAAAAGGTGCTGATGAATTACTGAGGCCAATTTCAGTGCAATGGAGGGGGTAACACCAAGGTGCTTCTGGTGACAGATATGAAAGAGAAAAATAAAATTATTTTTTCTGGTACTGAGGAACGAATCAGGACCTTGCCCTTGTGAGGCAGGCGCGGTGCCCCTGAGCTAAATCCCTGGCCCTGAAAGAGAAGTATTTATAACCCTTACAGTGCTGGGCTCCGTGGTGACACACGGCCTGCAATCCCAGCACTAGAGAGGCTGGGGCGGGAGGGTCACTGCGAGTTCCAGGCCATCCCAGACTGCATTGTGAGTTCAAGGCCAGCCTGAGCTACACTGGGAGACCCTGTCTCAAAACAAACAAGAAATAAAAAAATCTGAAAGGTAAGTAGCACAGTGCATGAAATCAAACTAGAAAAGTGGAGCGGGGTTCGTTCGCATCTTTGAGAACAGGATCCAAACTCAGTGCTACCCCTCCCACCCACTGAAGGCTTTCATTTCAGCCCTGTTTTGTAGATAAAGGAAATGCTCAGCCGGTTAAACAAAGTAAGAACTTTCTCCTAAGGGGTTTTCATGTCAAGGAGTAGGTAAGGTTTCCTATTTTAAGAGTGAAACTAAACCAGGTGAAGCAGTGGCACATTCCTGTGCTTCCTGCACTCTGGAGGCTGAGGCAGGAGGATCGCCTTGAGTTCAAGGCCAGCCTGGCCTCTCTGCACAGTGAGACCCTGACTCAAAACAAAGAACCAAAACTCATTTGCCTGTTCCTGTCAGAGAACACAGTGGAGGGAGACAGGCACAGGGCCACTCCTGGGAAGGCAGGTGAGGGTAAGGAGCAGTGGCTCCCACCCCCAGCTCCTCAAGCCTCACTGGTTGGTTTCCAAAGAATGAGCTCCACCCCACCCCACCCCCCAAGGCTAAACCCCAGGTCCAAGCCCACCTCCCGGGAGTGGGAGAGTCTGATCCATAAAAAAGAATGTCTCTAGCTGGGGTGTGGCGGCACACGCCTCTAATCCCAGCACTCAGGAGGCTGAGGCAGGAGGATCACTGTGAGTTTGAGACCAGCCTGCTGGGCTACATAGTGAGTTACAGGTCAGTCTCAACTACATAGTGAGACCCTGTTTTAAACAACAACAACAACAACAACAAGAAAGAGAGAGAGAGAGAGAGAGAGAGAGAGGGAGGGAAGAGAAGAGAAGAGAAGAAAAAAGAAAAGAATGTCTCTTAACCAACCAACGGGATACCAGAAGCCTAAGACCCCCTGCACTCTGGGAAGCTGAGACAGAAGGATCCCAAGCTCAAGCCCAGTCTGGGCAACCTAGAGATTTAATAAGACCCTGTATCATAGTAAAAAACATCAAAAACTAGTGCTTGGTGATGTAGCTCAATTGCAAATCCTTGGTTTCAGTCTCCTATCAATGAGAAAATTCTGAGATTTCAGGATTTCTGTGCCAGGAAAGGGAAAAAAAAATCAAATATATTTCTCATCAGTTTTTAATCTTTTTAAAGGGTGTTACTATGTAGCCCAGGGAACCTCACTATATGTAGCCAAAGAAGGTCTTTAATTTGAGATCCTCCTGCCTCAGCCTCCCCACTGTTGGGATTATGTGCATAAGACACCAAGCCTGCTTTGAATTTCTTTTAACACTCCAAAGGACTTAGCCAATTCCAGTATGGATGTCCTTAAAACACACCCTCAAGTTCTCCAAAAGGACTTGTGAGCAGCTCTCCCTGGCCAGGGGGATTTACTCCTCCCACCCTGCACCAAGGCTCTGTGGATGGACCAGGGCCGCGTGCTGCACGCAAGTGTGACAAGGGGAATCCAGAAAACAGGCCACAGCCAACTCCAGAAACCACTTCCTTGAGGAGTAAATTATTAAAAACAACCTGAGTGCCTGCCTCACAA